GGGAAAGCCGAAGGACACATCGTCGTCGACATCGGGGGGTGCACGCGGCGTAGTATATCGGTGGCGGAACGTAGCGTTACGTGTGTTATGTAAGGTGTCACTGTCGTTTAGCCGCATACACAAAGAAAGCTGTTTTTCTGTTTCAGCTCGGCGAGACGTTAAATCCCGAGCTGCAGATCATCACCAGCGTGTTCAGCAAGGTCCTACATCGGGGTGAGTACCGTACGTCGCAGTCGAGAAACGTAAAACGCCTCCCTCCTCTCCTCCCCCCTCCCCCCCTCCTCCCCTCCTCCCCTCCTCCCCTCCTCCCTTCTCCCTTCACCCTTCATCCTTTCACCTCGCTCCTTTTTTAAATCAAGCTGGAAATTCCATCGTCATCCTTGGCTCGCTATTGCGTAATATCACGCTCGCTTGTATCTCGTTCAACGACGTGATAACTTTTTCCTTTTAACCCCCGCAACCCCGCGGGGTTCCACTGGATACCAACCGCGATACCATCGCTTGTCTTCCTTTTGTGCGCGCCCGGTGTCCATTTGGTTGCGATCTCTTCCCTCCCGCTCTATATATATATCTCGAAACGATATTAAACATTTTCACCAAGTCCTACTGTTTTATTAATCATATACCTAAATAAATAATGTCCGTTATCGCGTTTTCGCGGATAAATATATAGGTTCGTGATTGATGAAACAGTGTTTTTGTAAAATTAAACTCTCGTACGTCATGCTTAAACATTATTTTTTCCAACATTCAAAAACATTCGCGAGACGTAATTCTTCTGTAATTGGCAGAAAATAATTTTGTTCTGTAAAAAAAACTTGATTGTGAATGTAAATGTTTGAAGCTTAGTGTTATCTACATCTTTACAAAATTGTCTTAACATTCTGGTTTCTTCGATGAATGCAGCCGATATGTCATTGATGTCGAGACAAATCAAGCGATGTGTAATAATTATCTATTCATCCCCCGCTGCTTTTTATTACAATGTACGCCGGGCAACATGACATAACGACGGACGACGTAACTACGTCGTATTGTGTCATCGGAACGTGAATCTTCAATAAGCTTTGCAGCGGCTCGATAGTAATTTTCTACAATACCTCGATTAAATGCATCATTGAAATCGTCTCGACGGTCTTCACATCGAAGAAATTCAATAAATACGGCGCTGCACGTAAGAGGGATGAAACCTCGAGAAATATAAGATCTAATTATCTTGATATAGCTCACGATGTAACGATCCTTCAATGTCCCTATAAAATATTCCAAGAGCAAAATATATCTCTCTCTGAATTATTTTGTAGAAACAGATTCACATTACTTGGCATTATTTTCTATATGCATATTTTCTATGTATATTTTAGTTTCGTCGTTTTTATAAAATTGTCACGTAATTTTTTTCACAAACACGTCATTTGTGTTTAAAGAGAGAAGCATGAATTAATAATAGAGACATGTTAGAAATTCTTTAGCTTCTTCCAAACATAAAACATTTTTCTTCCAAATATAGAATTTTTTTCGGACTTGAAGCATTTAGTATCGATGGTAATTGAAGTTTTTGGTTCATCTAAAATAAAAGTTTTGGAAAATGAGATCGCAATTAAGGTGATACGCTATAAAAGTAAAAATTCAAAAAAATCCTCTTTTTGGGATATTAGAGTTTTTTTAAATAATAATAATAATAAAATTATAAGTCTTCGAAAAAAATATTTAATTATACATCGATTAGATAGATTTTTTTATTTAAAAATACTTTAAGAAATTTTTGTACAAATATATAAATATATGTTGCTTAATGTTGAGACCTCTGTGTTTAAAAAACATGGTCCATTGGCATAGAGAACTCAAATTGTAATTATTGGAAATGAAAATTCCTTGAAAATTTCGAAATTATATGGTACTTTCAGTTAAGCGTACAGATTTTTTAAAATAATTTTTTTTATTACGACAGCAATAAAAAAATTATTTTAAATATCGACAGTTTGAAAAGAAATTTTTAATTTTATTAAATTTTGACATCTATAAATCTATCTTGTCTTAAGATTAATTGAAAAGAATTCATGCTGAACTGAAATTATTCGTTTTGTGATGTTACTTTTGAAACTAATTGATCTTAAAAAATCTCAAAAATTGTTCTTAGTTATAAATATTGCCAGTTAAGAAAAAGTGAAAAGAAACGCATTTAAAGTTTCAATATCGATTCATTAGTTGAATTTTTATTAGTTTACTATAGTGAATTGTTGGTGAAACAAGTACGATAGGTTATATGATCGAATTTTTATAAGCTAAACACATGGGACTAGATAGAGCAAAGAAAGAGCAATTAGGCTAAAGTTTGCTTTAGAATAACCGACCAGATGCCCTAGATCTCTCTCTATTTATCCATAAACAACTTATACAACTCGAGAAATATTTCGAATTTCAAAAATTTTAAAATCTTTTAAAAACATATTTCTAAAATATCAATCTTTTGAAAAATATAAAGAATATAAAGAAAGTTTTTTTTTAATGTTACTGTAGCGTAACTTTTTAATAAAAGTTTCCATTAAAAAATCAGTTTGCGAAGAATATAGCATTTGATAAGAATCAAATATATGGGAGTTCGCATTGCAATAAAAATACGCGTTTCACGCATCGCATCGATACTCGCAGTAAAATTCGAAAAAGTTGCCCGGATGTCGCGGTCCACGGAAATAACCGCGGATAATAAATAAAACGCTGGGAAGAAAGGAGAGGTTGGTTTTGCCGACGATACCTAGATGATGCTTAGAGGGGTGGCGGTAGGGGTGGTGGCGGTGGCAGCGGCGACGACGGCTGTAGCGGATGGCACTCGAGTCGAGAGTGAAAAGTCGAGAGCGGGGCCTCCAGGGGGGATGAAAAAGACGAAGGGAATGAAATGACTCTCTTAAGATAACGAGTCACTTCCTCGACCCACCGAGTATTCGCGCCAGCGGACACGTCTACGTTGCCGTGGGATAGGGTGAAAAGCACCCTTTTCTCTCCAATCTTAAGTTGGAATTTATAAGAGCGATGACTTGTCATATCCGGTTGGAAAAGTAATGGATGTTGGCTCTCTGCAGCCGTTCCCAAACACCAAAGTTGATAATGGGACCCATATTTTTTTTTTTTTTTTAAGTACGCAGAGTTATATGTTATTTAATTTGTAACTGAATAACACAATTTTTTTCAAAGGATGGCAAATCGAAAGTCATCCCTCGCATAATGCTCGCGCATACATAAATAATTATTAGTGGAAATCGTTTGTATCGTAATACGAGGACTATAAATACGCGTTTCCATTAGGAATGACAAAAAGTAAAAGAAGCAGCGTGAGTATGAATAACGAGGAAGCGTTTTAGCGGAGAGCAAGAATAATGAAGAAAATGCGAACCGACGGTGTAAATTACTTACAGTAATGCTTTCCCGTGCATCGAAGTAAGCGAAACAATGCTACTAGACAACTAGTTAATAAATTTCCAGCTTTCTAATTGCCATAGAGTAATTAGTATATTTCTCTCAAAAGGAGATAGTCGAGCTCTCTCTCTCTCTCTTTCTCCCTCTCTTTTTTTTTTTGTGGGTAATTATAATTATATACAATACTCAAAATGATAAATTGCGATATCAGGTCAAATATGGAATTTTGCAGATGCCAAAGCAAGACTTTTCGACGCGACAACACTACACATACGTTTCCACACGTCTTTTCGAAGCGTTTAATATTATAATTCTGTTACAGCGTTTTTTTGTTTTATCAATCCGATTTTATCGTTTTTATATCGTTTGTAGACCGGCGATGCAACATTTCGCACGGTACATTCACGCGAGCCACCGGCTTACTGGACTATGCTAAATACTGAAGTGGAAGGAAATTGTAGCATTGTGTCAAAGCGCCGATAACGCGCGCCGTTACAACGGAGCGTGAATTGAGTCGCTAGATGCGCGCGCGCGCGCGCGCGTTTATATCATCCACGATCCGTCCGCGATTTTTCATAACTTGTCTCGGCGAATTAACGCCCGTCAGAGCCTCGTTACGATATTAAAATTAAATGGATGGCGCGCATAATGGATTAGACAGATAGCTCGCGCGCGGCTCTGCATCAAGAACGGCGCGCGATCCACCGTTTTGATGCATCGCGCCGCGCGACTTACGGACGCAAATTGCGCCCGACGTAAAATCGAAATATGACTCCCTCTTTCTCTCTCTCTCTCTTTCTCTCCTCCTTTCCCTCTCCTCCTGCTGCCTTTCTCCTCGCCTG